TACTGCTACATCAACAAAAATCGTACTCTAAGAATCGCTAACAAATCGCTAAGAAAATCGTACGCATTCAGAAGCAATTCAAATCTACCCAACAAATGTTAATTTCTGGCTACAATAATCGAGTTCACCTTGTGAAGTTGGAGAACAGCTTTCTTCAAATCTTCCCCTTTCCTGCCATTGAACACTTCAGGTAATTCATTTGCATCAAAATCATGATCCGGACGTTCGATAAAATCCTGCATCAATACTTTTAAGTGGAAAACATCGAAATCCAAGCTTTAAAGTAAATTAAATTTCAAATTTGATTTCTAAGGTTCCAGTTTCCTAGATTTTGTGACTTCCGAGATAACAATTTTTGCTGCCAAAAATTTGACGAGGTCTCGCGTTGAACCCATGCGTACGTAGAGCTGGTCGCAACTCCTTTTGTCTCCCGAGATAATAATTTTTCTGTCAAAAATTTGACGGGTCGTACGTGATGCCCAGGGGTACGCAAAGGCCGAAATTAAGTCTGCGGAGTAGCACAGGGATGGGGGGCATACCAAAATTTCAGCCTTCTAGCTCATGTGGTCCCAGAGTTGAAAGTGCGAGACAAAACGAACTCGAAAACACAAACACTTCCACAAACACATATACACAAACACACATACAGATAGAGGCATAGCAACTTCTGCACTGCTATTACGCATAAAAGCGCATTATCTTCTGGTAGGGTTTTGCGGCGCAATACGAAGAGATTCACTGTTTTGCAGGCGCCTTAAAGAAGAGTTGTTAGCAGTTGTCAGTATTTCACCTGTGCATGTTCATAGGAGAGTTTGCAGCATGAATGAATGATTGTACGTCCAAACCATTCACCGAATATCTCCCCCTCATCGCTCATCTTCCAAACCACCGAAAATGTCAGGCGATCGATGCCCGGTTTCAGCGAACAGAGCTCCTCGCACAGAATTCGTGGGAGCATTGGTACCACCTGAAAAAAGATAGTTCTTCTTCACGCATTCCCAGGATTATAAGAGTAGCAGTGGCCAACAGCGAACAAAGCCTAATTTCATATGCATCTCAGATGCATTGGAATGAATGCGGTAATGGCTGTGGGGACTCAGGTCAAGAACATTGTAATAAAATTTTAATTTATATTATTTTAATCGTAATAATTCCGTAATTTACTATTTCGTAAAATTTATTATTTATTTTATATCGTAAAACTCCGCAGTTTAATTTACTTTAAAATTTTATCGTGGAATTATTCAAAAATTTTTAATTTAACCCAACTTTTTTTTTATTCAATTTTATTTAAAATTTAACAATTTAATTACAACAACAAATTGTAATTACGATTACAATTTAACTTATAAATTGATTATAATTTAAATTTAACAATTTTAACAAAATTTGATAAAATTTAAAATAAAATTCTGACCCAATTTTTTCACTGCTAACGGAAAAGGTGTTGAAATAGTTTCTTAATTTTATAAAAAAAAATGCTTTTTTTGACGATTCTGATATTATCATGTACGATATTATCATATTGTGTTTTAATGTTATGTTTTGTTTTACTATTTTTACAACGGGTTATGTTTTACTGTTTTTTCAACGGGTTATGTTTTACTGTTCGATGTGTGAAATTACAAAGATGAGATAGATCCATGCGGGAGAATGCAGACGGGTGCATCAGTGAACAGCGGAAAAACATCTAATTAACAAAATACCGAAATATTAACATTGGCTTTTTCATGAAAATGCCTTTTTTGTATAGCTAAAAATGCTGAATCAAAACAAAATGAATTAAAATAACAGTTGTGAAATTAGTAAGGTACCTAAAGTTTTTGATTACGAAGTAAATTTAAATTCTTGTAATTTATGAGCTTTGCAATTTATGCAATTTGTAATTTATGAAAGTTATATACTTAGAACCAAAAAGTAAGGGTGAAAACACAAACTGTTTAAAGTGCTACTGACTTTATGAACTAAATAC